GTTTTGAATGAAAACAAAAACAAATAAACACAAAATAAACAAACAAAAATCTTCGGTTGCTGTTGTGACCAGAATATTTTCGTAAAGCAGTGACATGTAAACCAGGTTACGGAATTGCATGTATATTTTACATAATGAAAATGTAAAAATGGCTGTAAATGTATATATATAAGCAAAGTTATATACATGTAGGGCAGGGTAATGAGTACACACACGCTTCCTCAAAACACACGCACTTTGCTTCAGAATGCAACAACTACACATACTGTACAACATATAGACATAGCTCAGATGCATAAGAGTTTGTAACGTGATATTTCTGCATAGATTTCTCTGTTTAGACTCAGACAAAGATGGTCACGGAAGAGAGCGCGTCAAGAGGAAAGAGTCTGTGTAGAAAGTGCGTTTGTACGTTCAGCGGTTCAAAGGTGGAGGATGACACGCACTTTCTATAATGCACATAGAAACTGCATGTTGTTCGCTGATAACGCGTTAGAGATTTGGTCCCGGTGTTACGTCGAGCCGCGTTTCCCCGTCAGATACTGTTTCCCCTGCGTCTACTCGCCGCTCCGCCCCGCTCCGCGCCTCGCACGCGGCAAATAGTGCGCGTGCTTGTTCAGCACTCGTAACCAGCGAGCCGTGCTTGCGCGGCGAGGCAACTACAGACACAGTGAAAGCACCTGAGTGAAGTTGGCCCCTACCCCACGCAAAACTCAGTGAAAAATAGCCACACTCGTTAGTGCTGGTTTGTGCAGAAAAAATATCGTTTGTGCTGTTTTGGTTTTTCAGGTATGACAACTTTATATTAATATAGCCTATATATATATATAATATGATATGACAAATAAATAAATATGTATGTATGTATGTATGTATGTATGTATGTATGTATGTATGTATGTATGTATGTATGTATGTATGTATATATACACATGATAGATAAATGTATTATATATATATATATAGGCTATATATATATATATATATATATATATATATAGCCTATATATATATATATATATATATATATATAGCCTATATATATATATATATATAGCCTATATATATATATATATATATATATATAGCCTATATATATATATAAATACATTTATCTATCATGTGTATATATACATGTATTCCCTCAGTGTTAAACAGGGGAAACGCGTCCTTATGGCCAAATTACCCCCGTCAGATACCGTTCCCCCTGTGTTAAACGGGGGAAACGCATCCTGATGGCCAAATAACCCCCGTCAGATACCGTTCCCTCAGTTTTAAACGGGGGAAACGGTATCTGATGGCCAAATAACCCCCGTCAGATACCGTTCCCCCTCTGTTAAACGGGGGAAACGCATCCTGATGGCCAAATAACACCCGTCAAATACCGTTCCCTCAGTTTTTAAACGGGGGAAACGGTATCTGATGGCCAAATAACCCCCGTCAGATACCGTTCCCCCTGTGTTAAACGGGGGAAACACATCCTGATGGCCAAATAACCCCCATCAAATACCGTTCCCTCAGTTTTAAACAGGGGAAACGCATCCTGATGGCCAAATAACCCCCGTCAGATGCCGTTCCCCCCTGTGTTAAACGGGGGAAACACATCCTGATGGCCAAATAACCCCCATCAAATACCGTTCCCTCAGTTTTAAACAGGGGAAACACATCCTGATGGCCAAATAACCCCCATCAAATACCGTTCCCTCAGTTTTAAACAGGGGAAACGCATCCTGATGGCCAAATAACCCCCGTCAGATACCGTTCCCTCAGTTTTAAACAGGGAAACGGTATCTGACGGCCAAATTACCCCCATCAAATACCGTTCCCTCAGTTTTAAACAGGGGAAACGCATCCTGATGGCCAAATAACCCCCGTCAGATACCGTTCCCCCTGTGTTATTTTTTAAAACTGGACACAAAAAACACAACCTCGAATCAAAATGCACATTTTTCAAAACACAATTTTCAATTGCTTGGATACAACACTAACAATGCAAAGATCACTGGATCATTTGACTTTGATCAACCTTTCAATAGGATACATCTAAACATCAAAGTGCCATTTTTACAAAAAAACTGAGTTTCACACCTTTAATATTGGAGGACCATTGGTTCATCCATTAAATTCATCTTTCTGCTATTTGATAACACCTCAATCTATTGAAATGAATGGGAAAAACAATCAGAGTAATGTAAAGACACATTTTTTCCACAGTAAAGTCCTCCACTGTTGTAAAGTGACAGTACCACTCACAGGAAGAACAGGATGTTACGGTAATTAGCAGTAACCTACATATTCTTCTGGTTTCCCTGGTCTTGATAGAGTAAGTCTTCACAGTGAACTGTAAAGGGTATAGGTTGTCAATTTACAGCACACAATGTGTTTATGTAGTGCTTTACATACATAGTATTTTCCAAATACTTTCTCAAGCAGTACAGTAGGCCTGCACTCTTACAGGCTGTAATCACTTCGTTGGGTTGGGTGTTTGCTACAGATAGACTGAGAGCAAGCAGGTGCAATGCTCATGTGACAGTTGATGGTCCTGCCACTATGCCTCTGAGTGATCATGTGCCCTGGCTACTTAGCTACAGATACAGTGCCTAGCGAAAGTATTCGGCCCCCTTGAACTTTTCAACCTTTTGCCACATTTCAGGCTTCAAACATTAATTAAAACTTCAAACTGTAATTTTTTGTGAAGAATCAACAACAAGTGGGACACAATCATGAAGTGAAACGAAATTTATTGGATATTTCAAACATTTTTAACAAATAAAGAACTGAAAATTGGGCGTGCAAAATTATTCAGCCCCTTTACTTTCAGTGCAGCAAACTCTCTCCAAAAGTTCAGTGAGGATCTCTGAATGATCAAATGTTGTCCTAAATGACTGAAGATGATAAATAGAATGTACCTGTGTGTAATCAAGTCTCCGTATAAATGCACCTGCTCTGTGATAGTCTCAGAGTTCAGTTTAAAGCGCAGAGAGCATCATGAAGAACAAGGAACACACCAGGCAGGTCCCAGATACTGTTGTGGAGAAGTTTAAAGCCGGATTTGGATACAAAAAGATTTCCCAAGCTTTAAACATCCCAAGGAGCACCGTGCAAGCGATAATATTGAAATGGAAGGAGTATCAGACCACTGCAAATCTACAAAGACCCGGCCTTTCCTCTAAACTTTCAGCTCATACAAGGATAAAACTGATCAGAGATGCTGCCAAGAGGCCCATGATCACTCTAAATGAACTGCAGAAATGTACAGCTGAGGTGGGAGACTCTGTCCACAGGACAACAATCAGTCGTATACTGCACAACTCTGGCCTTTATGGAAGAGTGGCAAGAAGTAAGCCATTGTAAAATTGAAAATTGTGTTTTGAAAAATGTGCATTTTGATTCGAGGTTGTGTTTTTTGTGTCCAGTTTTAAAAAATAACACAGGGGGAACGGTATCTGACGGGGGTAATTTGGCCGTCAGATACCGTTTCCCCCGTTTAAAAACTGAGGGAACGGTATCTGACGGGGGTTATTTGGCCATCAGGATGCGTTTCCCCTGTTTAAAAACTGAGGGAACGGTATTTGATGGGGGTTATTTGGCCATCAGGATGTGTTTCCCCCGTTTAACACAGGGGGAACGGTATCTGACGGGGGTTATTTGGCCATCAGATACCGTTTCCCCCGTTAAAAACTGAGGGAACGGTATCTGACGGGTGTTATTTGGCCATCAGGATGCGTTTCCCCCGTTTAACAGAGGGGGAACGGTATCTGACGGGGGTTATTTGGCCATCAGATACCGTTTCCCCCGTTTAAAACTGAGGGAACGGTATCTGACGGGGGTTATTTGGCCATCAGGATGCGTTTCCCCCGTTTAACACAGGGGGAACGGTATCTGACGGGGGTAATTTGGCCATAAGGACGCGTTTCCCCTGTTTAACACTGAGGGAATACATGTATATATACACATGATAGATAAATGTATTTATATATATATATTTGTGAATATATATATCTATATATATATATATATATATAGGCTATATATATATATATATATATATATAGGATATATATATATATATATATATATATATATATATATATATATATATATATATATATATATATATATATATATATTACATACATACATACATATATTACATACATACATACATACATACATACATACATACATATTTATTTATTTGTCATATCATATTATATATATATATATATAGGCTATATTAATATAAAGTTGTCATACCTGAAAAACCAAAACAGCACAAACGATATTTTTTCTGCACAAACCAGCACTAACGAGTGTGGCTATTTTTCACTGAGTTTTGCGTGGGGTAGGGGCCAACTTCACTCAGGTGCTTTCACTGTGTCTGTAGTTGCCTCGCCGCGCAAGCACGGCTCGCTGGTTACGAGTGCTGAACAAGCACGCGCACTATTTGCCGCGTGCGAGGCGCGGAGCGGGGCGGAGCGGCGAGTAGACGCAGGGGAAACAGTATCTGACGGGGAAACGCGGCTCGACGTAACACCGGGCTGCAGGACCAGGACCAAGACCAGGACCAGGACACGATTCAGATTCAGATTGTGGCGTTTAAGAGCGAGGATGATTATAGAAAGAGAGTGTTATTCTAAATATTCTTAGTGGGAAATATCACGCACTTTGACAGAACGAGAGTGTGTGGCTCTGATCTGTCCCCGTGTGGTCCCTGTGTGGCCAGAGGAGGACAGACGAGGACAGTGGAGGACAGAGGAGGATAGAGATGGACAGGGGAGGACAGTGCGTGACTCTGATCTGTCCCCATGTGGTCCCTGTGTGGCCAGAGGAGGACAGACGAGGACAGTGGAGGACAGAGGAGGATAGAGATGGACAGGGGAGGACAGTGCGTGACTCTGATCTGTCCCCATGTGGTCCCTGTGTAGTCCCTGTGTAGTCCCTGCCTGGTCAGATGTGGTCAGATGTGGTCAGAGGAGGTGAGTGTGTGAAGCTGTCAGATGTTGACAGGCGCCAGTGACATGTGCAGGTACCTGGAGCTGGTGGCCCCTCCTCCGGGAGCTCTCTCTCGGCTTCCTCAGGCGCAGTTGAGCGGGCGCAGCTGGAGCAGTCCGTGGAGCGACTCTTTCCAAACTTTTGCGGTAGTTTCTCTGATCAAAGGTCCGCACAGGGACAGCCTCCGCGTCGCTCTGCAGCCGTATGATCCCGGGATAACACAGGTGAAACAGGACGATCGCTGTCACACTAAAGACAAGTTTGGCACAGCTTTCGCGCAGGCAACCATTGAGACGCGCTCTGTGGCTGTGAAAGCTGAGCCGCGCTGAGGCCACGCCCCTCTCCTTATATGGAGCCTGCGCCGTGTGGACCTCCTGCTCCGTCCAGATGTGACTCCGAGAGAAAGAACCAGGGAACACGGAATAAAACAGACAGAGACACACCATAATCAACCTCTCAGTCACTCAAACCTGTGCCCAATAGTCCAGCAATAGAGCAGTACAGGAAGTAGATGGCTGAAATATACTCAAAAGCTGCAAGTTATTCATTATAAAGTCTGAAACATCAGGTCTTTATGTTCTTTTTATAGGACCATTCTCACTTAAACTGTGTGTATCTGTACCCCATATACAGAACAGGACCCCCACCCTGACTGCAGACTGCTTTCTCCATGTGGTGTCTCTTGAATGTGAGTTTGGGTCAGAAAGAGGAAGTAAAACATGGCATAACTAATGTATGAAGTTGTACAATCAAAACTCACTTGCGACAAAAGTCTTGAGAATCTGCACAAAAAACACACAATGTCCAAAACACCAGAAATCTAATCATTTGTTGTAACACTGTTGTAATGATATGTTTGGTTGTGTAGCTTCAACACACACACACACACACACACACACACACACACACACACACAGCCATGCTAGCAGACATTCATGAGACCAATGACATAATAGGAGGAGGTTTAGCGTTTTTATTTAGTAATGACTTCTCTACATGAATGTTTTAGGCGCCGCAGCTGCCTCTGCAACACCACTATGCTTCTAAAAACTCTTTCACTGTTCTCTTACTATTTGTCACATGGAATAACGTGGTGTGGCTGCTGGGTTTTTGGTCACTATGGATCTCTTTGGTCTCTCTCTCTGGTCTCTCTCTGGTGTCTCTTTAGTCTCTCTCTCTGGTCTATCTTTGGTCTCTCTCTGGTCTCTCTCTGTAGTCTCTCTCTGGTCTATTGCTGGTCTCTCTTTGGTCTCTCTCTGGTTTCTCTTTGGTCTTTCTCTGGTCTCTCACTCTGGTCTATTGCTGGTCTCTCTTTGGTCTCTCTCTGGTTTCTCTTTGGTCTTTCTCTGGTCTCTCACTCTGGTGTCTCTCTCTGGTCTCTCTCTGGTCTCTCTTCGGTCTCTCTCTGGTCTCTCTTTGGTCTCTCTCTGGTCTCTCTTCGGTCTCTCTGGTCTCTCTCACTTGTCTCTCTAGCTATAGTTTCTCTCTCTGGTCTCTCTCTCTGGCCTCTGGTCTCTCTCTGGTCTCTCTCTCTGGTCTCTCTTTGGTCTCTCTCTGGTCTCTCTCTGGTCTCTCGCTGGTCTTTCTCTGGTCTCTCTCTCTGGTCTCTCTCTGGTCTCGCTGGTCTCTCTCACTTGTCTCTCTAGCTAGTTTCTCACTCTGGCCTCTCTCTTTGGTCTCTCAGGTGTCTCTGGTTTCTCTCTCTGGTCTCTCTCTCTCTCGCTCTGGTCTCTCTCTCTCTCTGGCCTCTCTCTTTGGTCTCTCCCTCTGCTCTCTCTCCTTTCTTTGGCTGTGATGCCACCAAACCCTCATCTCACATTCTCAACACATCACATTTATTATACACTTTTTTGTTGTATTAGACCTATTCTGGGCAGCTGTGTGTATACGAGAGACAGAGTGGGCGGGGCTAACACCGGTCCAAACTAAAACATGCTTTTGATTTCAGCGTTCAAAATATTACGTAACAACACTCTGCCTATAATACGGTACATATTTGTGAAAAGCCATGAGAAGAATCCTGGTTGAATCCCACCGGAGACCGCAGACTACAGTGACAGGAGGGAACCTTTGAAACGGCTCGTCCCATTCGATCGAACAAAATGGCCGCGGTGACAGACTCCTGCCTCCGTCTTTCCCCTCGGAGCAAAAGAGAAAGTATGAGCGACAGTATCTCTCTCCCCCGCTCGCTTAAAGGCTTTCTCAAACTAATGCCGTGAGTGGCACTAAGCTATGTCAGTTGTCACACATCAGCAACACGGGAGAGGAATGCTGTGCTGAGGGCGGCGGGACCAGGACGAGCAAGAGTGTGAGTCCCCGTGGGCAGTGGGGCAAATGCTAAAACTGTGTTGTGCCAGAGAGCCCAACGGGAGACGGAGAAGAGCTGCAGATGTCTAGTTTCCTCCAGAACAGGCAGATCACAGTCCTCTTTCAGGGCAGAGCACCTCTCTCTGGTCTCTCTCTGGTCTCTTTCTGGTATCTCTCTGGTCTCTTTCTGGTCTCTCTCTGGTCTCTTTCTGGTATCTCTCTGGTCTGTCTCTGGTCTCTCTCTCTGGTGTCTCTCTAGTCTCTCTCTCCCTGGTCTCTTTCTGGTCTCTCTCTGGTCTCTTTCTGGTATCTCTCAGGTGGCACGGTGGCTGAGTGGTTAGCACTCTCGCTTCTCAGCAAGAAGGTCCTTGGTTTGAATCCTGGTCAAAACAGGGTCTTGCTGAGTGGAGTTTGCATGTTCTCCCCGTGCCTGCGTAGGTTTCCTAAAAACATACACACAGGGTTAAATCCTCCAGCTCTGGTCCTGACCAAGCCGAGCATCAACATCTGTAGATGGGTTCCTGACGTGAGCCTTAGTGGAATCAGGATGGGTCAAATGCAGAGGATGAATTGCCCTAAATAGGGATTAATAAAGTGCACCTTTACCTTTATCTTTACCTGTATCTCTCTGGTCTCTCTCTGGTCTCTCTCTGGACTTTCTCTGGTCTCTCTCTGGTCTCTCTCTGGTCTCTCTCTGGTCTCTCTCTGGTCTCTCTCTGCTCTCTCTCTGCTCTCTCTCTGCACTCTCTCTGGTCTCTCTCTGGTCTCTCTCTGGTCTCTCGCTGGTTCCTCTCTGGTCCCTCTCTGGTCTCTCTCTCTCTGGAGAATAGCTGGAGATGGAGTTGTCTAATTCCAACGGAGGGCGACAGGTGGGAGTGTCATGTAAATAGCCTCTACAGGACTGCAGAGCTGCGGTGTATGTGTGTGTGTTCATGTGTGTGTGTTCATATGTGTGTGTTCATGTGTGTGTTCATAAGTGCGTGTTGATTATGTGTGTGTTTCATAAGTCCGTGTTTGCGATAAGATCCCGCGGGGCTCATTATCTAAGCTGCATCCTTTTCCTGTTGCAACAAAAAGTTAAAGCCCTAGATTTTTTATGGTATCTGAAAAAAAAAAAGGTGCGTGTCGAGCCCGGGCCACATCAGGCGTGCTCATAGAGGCGTGTAGAGCCGCTGCAGAGTGTGGTACCAGGAGCTGAGCTAAAACCTTAAACACTGGGCTCTCGCTGCTGTATGAATATGGAAAATGTGAAGTTGGCCATGCCCTGGTGGTCCCTGGCTGTAAATGTTCCCAGTCTGGTGCTGAGCAGGATTATGGCGTGACTAAGACTGAAAGAGGAGCCAGTCGTTGACATGACAGACTCTGCACAGAACGCAGACGTTTCTCTTGTTAAAAAATAGACGGAATAAATGCGAGGGTCGACGCGCAGAGTTGGCATCGCACACGGCTCTCCTGCTCCCATGTTGTAATCAGACGTACGTCATAACACGGTGAGGAATGTTATGTCTTTCCAGGAGATATCTGTTATACAATGATTCATACACACAGACATATACACTGGATCTATATAAATGTCCTATTGCTTCATCCTCCTGTCACATACAGTACAGATGGAAGAAGAAACCAGTTGAGTCAAATAACAAAAAGACTTTCTGTGAAATTGTTCAAACACAAACACAGCATGCTTTTATTTTCTAAGTGGTAAAAGTGGATATTGTTTTCTAAATGTTTGGCTTGTTCCTTGCCTGGCCTTATCCATCCGTACACTCCGTTCAATCATCATTTCCTGCATGTAACGTCTGGTTCTGGTCCCTGTGTTAGCGATTACAATCGGTTGAATTACATCTGACCAATCAGCGAGCGCGGGAGGCAGGTGTTGTAGTTAGATGTGGGTGACGTCAAGAGTTTGCGCCGAACGGGCATTCTTCACCAGGACAATGGCGAAGAATGCGATAGTAAAGTAATCCGGTCTGGTTCTATCGAGAAATTGAAGCCGGAGCAAGAGGAATGTTTAGCAAATGTAATCGCTGGCAAAGATTGTGGCGCTACTCCCCACGGGCTCCGTTAGCAGCAAAGGAGATGGCTAAAGCTAGGCTAAATGCTAACAACTCACACATCAAGATAAACTCAGATGTTTTTAATCTGCAAAAGGAGTTAACCCCTCCCACCTGTTAACGGAGTCAATGGAGCTTATTCCACAACTGGGCGACATATCAAGAATAGATGAATTTGAAGACTGATAGTTAAATATACACACACAAAAATAACTACTGTATAACTTTAGCAGCACCCTCAATGTGATAAAGATAATACTAATTTCCACCCTTTTCTCACTGTCCCTAACCCAATTGCTTTCATGATCCTCTTTGCATTTCATTTACAACCACATCGTACAGAGGACATGTTTGAACATTGTACGTGGTTTCTGTGATAAATGTCGTCAGGGCTAATGGCCTGCACTTTGCGTGTGGCTGTTGTTACAGGAGCAGTGGCGTCTCTCTCCTGTTTCACTTCACGAGGCGCCCCCTGAACCCTCGGCAGGTGCTGGGTTTCCTCTCTCTCTGGATACGTTCTAGCCTCAAGGATCAATACTTTTATCGAGGATGAGACACTATCCCAGCTGTCAGGACTGCTCACATTCAACAGCATGAAGTATGTGTTAGTACGTGTTAGTATGGGTTAGTATAGGTTAGTATGTGTTAGTATGGGTTAGTATGTGTTGGTATGGGTTGGTATGTGTTAGTATGTGTTAGTATGCGTTAGTATGGGTTAGTATGGGTTAGTATGTGTTAGTATGGGTTAGTATGTGTTGGTATGGGTTGGTATGTGTTAGTATGTGTTAGTATGTGTTAGTATGGGTTAGTATGGGTTAGTATGTGTTAGTATGGGTTAGTATGTGTTGGTATGGGTTGGTATGGGTTGGTATGTGTTAGTATGTGTTGGTATGTGTTGGTATGTGTTAGTATGTGTTGGTATGGGTTAGTATGTGTTAGTATGTGTTAGTATGTGTTAGTATGGGTTA